ACATCTCTCTTGTTCCTCATCATTTCAACTTTGAACATCCTATTATTATACTAGATCATATTCCAAAGATAACACAAGGGTACCAAAGGCAATCAAAGGGACCAAGATGTCTAGTACTTGACTTCCTAACTCCGCTCCAGACAAAAAGGGGCCAAAAGCAGGCTCCAAAGGAAGGGTCTGGGACATCCAGGGTGGTGCTGATCATTAGGCTCCCACATGCCACCGGGGTGCTAGGGCAGAGGCCCCTGTCCCAGGCTTTCTCTTCTTCCCCAGTGTTTAGCAGTCAAGCAGGGAGTGTGATATAAAAGCCATGAGGCAGCTGAAAATCACAAGGTTCCATGGGCCTATTAAATCCTGGGCACTGTGTTCAAGCAGCAGGATGAAAAGGCTGGAGAATGAATCTAATGATCAGACTACTGCTCAGAACCTATGGGAAGCTGCCAGCATACTAGGCCTGGTGCTAACCTGCATCACACTCCATTTCACATCAATACTATGAGGGTAGAAAGCCTGTTAGGACCCAGACTGTGCAAGTGAAGAAACCGAGATTTTCCAACATAGCTGATAATGTGTCCACTGTCACGGAATTGGGGAGTGCTGCTGGAATTTGGGTCCAAACCTATATACACAGCTCCAGGAAGACCACTGGCTTCCAGAAAAGATCAAAAGCAGCTATCAAATAAGAAGCATGACCCCTGACCTGCTGGAATCACAGAGTTGTATTAAAGGAAAAGTAAGTCCTTGGAAGTGATACACAATGTGTGCTAGGCTTGCCACGACCGTTTTATATAAATTAAGCAGCAGAATCGGAACTCAACCCTCTTTCCATTTCTATCTTTCTTCTATGGAATTTTGATGCATTCATCCCTGGGGAAGAAATGCCTTTTTTTTTTTTTTTCCAAATCCTACTCCATTAAAGAAAAAAAAATGAACAAAACTTGAGCTTACTCTTGCTAATCACAGTCTTTATCAGAAGGCTTCAGAAGACATTTTTTTTAAAGATTTATTTATTTGTACATACAGAACTGGGGTACAGGCCAGAGGCTCAGGGGTGGCAAGAGGCTTCACCAGAGACAGAGTGGGGAGCAGAACAGGCAGATCGAGGAAGTACACTGCTGAGGGGAGCAGCGGGCGGGTCAGGAGGGGTCTGCCACGCCATGTGGTCACCTCCGGGGCAGGCGGGAATCGAACTCATGCGGAAGCGGCTTTAGATTCTCAATGCAGAGCTTTAACCCGCTGCGCCACCAGGGAGGGCTCCAGAAGACATTTTTAAAGCAATTTATCCCACAATCTGGAATGAAATCGCTTTGAGGATGAACTAATTCATTTTCTCCTTTTATTAACTCTAGTAAAGCATTCTCGGACCAGGGTGATATTTTTTGAAGAAAAATAGTAACTGGGAAATAAGAAAGGTTATCACCTTAGTACATATCATATTCTACTTACAGAAAATAAATATACTGGTTCCTCATATTCCAAGGGTGAATTCTGCCAACCTGTAACTATAGTTACATAGCAGATTCATTAGCTCTTGCACAGAGGTCAAGAAATGTTGAGCCTCAATGCCTGATTAAAGTTTGAAAATGCTTCTTTCATTAATCTCACAAAGTTTTCTCTCATTGAAGCTTTTGTCAGAGAGCAAATAGTGTCAAATCCTTGTGATTTACTCTATCACTTTTCCAGACAGCTGCCTAGAATTTTGGGAAGAGGATAAAATACATGACATATAGAATGAAAGAAAAAAAAAAATAGAAAATCTGCTTGATACCAAAAATGTAATAATAAATCAACATATAAACAAAATAATCAATCTAGAATACTGGAAATCACCAATTTTTCTCTTACTGTAATACTGCACTGAAGTTGATAAAAATCACAACATTGTCTTATAAACAGTCCTGACATTATGAAGCCACAAGTTTCTGATTATTTATGATAACTTTGGAAACAAATCCACCTAACAATCTGCTAAAACACTGGCCCCACTGCCCTGCTAATAACCCCACAGTTCATTAAATTTAGGTTTTGTTCATTTTATTTGCAGAAGTATGACATTCACAAAATTAGGCAATAACCAAATCCTTTATGTTATATAGCCTACTTTTACAAAGAAAAAAAAAAAAGCTAAAGACAATATTCAGAGGTACATCACACTTTTATTCCTTCAGACCTGTCATGCTTTGTATTTATTGATATCTATACCAAAAACATGGAGAGAATGCCAGCCCCAACCTCAGGAAACCAACCAATACTTTTTCACAGTGCTGTACTTGCAAAGTGCTTGGCTCTCCGGTATCTCTCAGTCTCATTGAAGGCCCGCGAGTTAGACTTATACCTGGTAGTCATCACTCTGCTCACTGGCAGAAGCAGCACTGAGGCCCATAGCGTTTAAGTGGCTGATTTCCAAGTCACAAGAGCAAGGGGGTTGGGGGCAGATCCTACAGCGCTGTTGTTTCTGGACCCCTCCCACTCATCGTATACCACCAATTTTATCTTCCTTAATGGTTAAAGCTTAACCACACCTGAAGGACTGATTTCTGCTGCTTTCAGTGACCAGTTTGAGTATTTAGTGGGAACTGAATCTTCTACGCTTTCTATAAAATCCATTTAAGACCTCATTTCTGTAGAACCCATGTAGGTTCTATAAAACCCAGTCCAAAGTCCAGTAGGGACAGACTGGGTGATCAGCCCACTCACGGATCCCTACAGGTATACCCCTCTCGGGCACAAAAGTTGAAAGGTCACCCTAACCTCATTGTTAGGTCCAATCCCTATGCTACACTAGTCAGAGAGTTGAAAGACCCAACATTCGACCACAGCCCCAGCTAATGTGTTTGAGCCAAGAGGTAGGTAACCTGTCTCAGCCTCACCTTCCCTGTCCATGAAGGTAAAGGCAGATTTAAGTCATCTCAAAGTCATCTTCCATTTCCAAATTTCAACCCTATGCCAGGCACCCATCACTTTACCTTAAAACAGGCCCAAGAATTCTTAACATCAGAATGTCTCTTTCATCACCTATTCCAAGGCTTCCCATTTTAATTTCATTCTCTATTCTGCTTGTACCACTTGGTATCAGTCTCTTCATGCCTCTCTGTTTACGCGCTCCAGTATTTGTAAGTTGTTATCATGCCTCCTCTGAGTCATCAGAGATTACCACCCATAACTTAACCACCATAAATTAAATGTCTTCAGTAACTTACTATTTTTTTTTGTTTGTTTTTACCCAGTCCCCACCCACTAGTCAGTTACATGGTTGTGGAATTTTAAATAAATATTCTCTCAAGGTCATTCTTTTTAAGGAAAGCTTTTCTCGTGTTTTTTTATATTTCTACTGATTTCCAATATCTATTTCTACTGGTTTTCAAATACAGGTTTGAAATCTACTGATTTTCAAAGTATGCAGATATCGCAACATTTATTTTGCCCAGTTTTTACAAGTTTGATTTTCTTTTTTATATCTGCCTTTCAATTTTGGTTATTTTTTTCCCTTTCTTTTATAATTCTTGGTCACCTCTCACTATATTACCTTCAGTAAACCCACCAAGGCAAAACAGAACAACACACGATCCCAACCCAGAATATGAAACTGTGGAGACACAGTAAGAGCAGTGTGGACACTGGAAGAGTGAGTGGGCTGCACTGAAGCCCCACCGCCCCATGCAAACAGAGGCGCCAGGGCTCGGTGCCCCTGCGTCCCCATCTAAAAAATCTTTTCCTCCAGAAAGAAATGTAGAAGTGTGTATCCAGAAGGAAAAATGCTGAAGCAATGAGGGAGCCAGAGCAGCTGGGGGTTGTTAACTTTAATCAAAGTCCAGCCAGGATTTTTTAAGCAACAGGAAATAGATTTGTTCTCTTTAATATTCTCTCTCTCCTCATACATACACACTCTCTCTCACACAATCACATTCTTTCTCCACATACTCACTCTTTTCTCCTCTATCCTTCTCCATTTTCTCTGGCCAGAAACAAGCTGGATGGAAAAATCTTGATTTGTCTTTGGAAACTTGCAGTGTTCACTGGCAGTTCAAAGCCAAATGCAGAGCATTAGCACGGTCAAGAGAGAAGAGCACAGTGTGCCACAGCCGAGCGGGCTCATGCTTAGTTCCCCAGGGCGGCCACAATAGATTAGTACAAACATGAGGCTTAATACAACACAAATTTCTTCTGTCACAGTTCTAGAGGCCTGAGTTTGAAATCAGCTTCAGTCAGCAGATACCAAGATGTTGGCAGGGCTGTGCTTCCCTCAGGAAGTTGTGAATAGAGAATCCATTTCCTTGCCCCTTTTCAGCTTCTAGGGGCCACCTATATCCTTGGCCCCTTCTTCCACCTCTAGGGCACATCACTCCATTCTCTGCTTCCATCAAATCACCTCCTCTGAGTAGTCCAATCCCTCCCTCCACAGACATTTGTGATTTCATTTAAGTCCTACCTTAAGGCTTTACACCTGGCCCACCTGATTAACCCAGGCCCATCACCATGTCTCAAGCTCTTTAACCTAATCACACCTACAAAGCCTGTTTTGCCAGATAAGGTAACATTCAGGTTTTGGGGATTAGGATGTGGATAACTCAGCGGCCATGATTCAGTCTACCACAGAGCACCTGTCCTGGTTGAGGTTCCTATAAACAGTCTTCCGCTCACCTACCCAGTAACACTAAGTCATGACCATAGGGCCTGAGCAAAAGGGGGGGAAATGTTTTCTAAATGCCAAATGGAGAAATGCCATGCATTACAGATCTATCTTTCCCGCCATGTTTTTGCCTATTAAGCCATCTGGTTTGTATTCAGCAAACCTTAAGCAACCCAACACTTTCCCATACCTGGGCACAGCTCCAGTTCCACTGCCCTTGGCATAGGGAGAAAGCGTCCACCTGTTATATGGAAACCCACTTCCAACTAAAAGTGGGCCTCCGAGCCACAAATATTCATGTTTGTCAAAGGTTCAGCAAATGCTCGTTACGGTGTCCTAGATGGAGCATGGACAAGGAATTAGAACTCACCAAACCTCTTGTAACCGAAGGACTGCACCTCCTCCTCCTCCGCGAAGTCGTCTGCGGGAGAAAAGACACATGTTAACCTGGCAGGGCCAGAAAAGCAGCCAGGGAAGGATGCGGCGGCTCCCAGTCCAGCTGCTTCACCTTCCCTCCCCTTCATTCACCATTCCAGTCTCAGACTCCTTCTGCCACTGCCCACATCTTGCTTTCTGAGAGCCAGCAGGCTCTCTGCCCTGGGGGCTTTTCCTCCTGTTCTTTATGTGATTCCTAATTCAGACCCTACTTCAAGTGTGACAGCTTCATGATGTCTTTGTGGACCTCTACTAAGACTCAGTATTAGTAACATTACTAATACTGTCATCACTCATGCTTGTGTCTGTCATTATGCATCTGATGAGCAGAAACATCTCCTATCTTGGCCCCGAATGGTGCCTGTCCTGTCGCAAAGGAGGGGCTTAAACAAATTGTTAAATGACTGAATAATCACCTGTCGCAAGAGTTAAGTGATCACCCTGTAACCAACTCTAAAGTCCCCTATTTCAGTTGAAACCAGCAGCCTGGGCTCATCCCTCCCACCCAGTGCTGCATGTCAGGAATCCAGCACCGCTTCTCAATGGCAACAAACTCCACCTCACTCTTTGTCCACCAGGTAGCTGGGACCAACATATAGTTTCCCAATAAAAATATTTCAAAAGACAGCCTTACTGCAGAAAGGCCTAAATGCAGGAACACTATGGAAACAAGATATGTCAGCCGAATTTTTTACCAAAAAATTCCCCCTCCTACCATAGACATATAATCCCTTATCACATCAATAAAAACTCATTTTATAATTCTGCTAGGTGTGTGGTATACCAATTCATTAGGGAATTAAAGGATATTTTAAATAACAATTAAAGGTAGCAAGACCAGGTCTTTCTAGGGAGTACTGACCAATTATTCTTGTGGTCACCACTAGCACTCAGCTTTCTCCAAAGGTGCAGTTCAGTTTAAAAGCAATGATTCAGCCTTTACTGTGAGTCCCACACTCCCTACCAATGGGCTTCAGAAAAAAAGCATATGTGGTGGTATGCAACCATCACAGGCTGGGCAGGTTCACTGTTGATTCAGGCAAATGGGGATAGAATTTTGGAGCGTAGGTTTATCTGACGTGCCTTTAATGCTGAAGCAGGGGACCAGATACACAGGCAGACCAGCAGGTAGGGAGGCAGGTAGGCAGCAAGTGGGCCTCCTAGTCCCTGTAATCTCTGCGATGTGCTTCTCCCCCAGGCATACATAATTACAGGTGCACTGGGCCTGTGCTTTCACTCTCAAGCACTTTTTTTAAAAAAGATTTATTTATTTAATGAACAGAACTGGGGTACAAGCCAGAGGTAGTGCAGGGGCAGTGAGAGGACTATCAGAGACAGAGTGGGGAGCTAACAGGCCCATCGACGAAGTGTACAGCTGAGGGGAGCAGCAGACAGGTCAGGAGAGGTCTGCCACGCCATGTGGATCACCTCCTGGGCTGGGGATCAAACTCACACTGAGGTGGCTGCAGCGCTTTGTCCTTACCCATTGTGCCACCAGGGAGGGCCCTCAAACACTTTTTGCAATAACATGACATCATATCTGGGTAATGAAATCTCGGGGGGAGGGGGCAGGAACAAGCCCCATATGGCAGCTACAAGAGACTGGAGATGGGAAGGCAGAAAAAGAGCCTCAATTAGCCCATGTTCCTTCCATGTGATCCCTTCCCTCAAGGAATCACAAGTTTTCGAGGAGGGATATCCAGGGCAGAAACCAAGCCTCTGTAATCATCTTTTTCAGTGACCAAATGATATTTCCTAAAAAATATTATGGGAAATCTCAAGTGATAACAATGTGGTGAACCTTATCTGAATAATAGTTTATTATGAAAACACTTGAGCAGCTTTTCCTAATAGAGAAACATTGTATTTTACAATGTTTACTTACTCAGAGAAGAGGGAAGAGACCTTGCTTGTAAAAGTCTTCATAATTAAAGTAGTCTTATGTCAAGGATGAAAGTTCATCCTGTAGGGAAGAACATGCTTACATTCAGAGAATAATGCCTTTCACACTGACCTAGTGATTGGCTGATCAACAAAGGTATCTTAAGCCTGTGCTCTGTGCCTGTTTTACTTAGTAATTCTCTTACATTAGTAGCTGAGTGGCCTGATCTAGTCTCAAGTAAAGAAAAACCCTTACTTGCTGCTTCTGCTTAGATAATCAATCAATCATTCACTCATTCATTCAATTAATATATATCTCAGCCTAGTGGAGTTGATGAGACATAAGTTAACAATACCACCCCCCCATAAGCTTCCCCTACCAGCTCTGGCTCCTCCACTACATGGCATGTCTGCAAAAGAATCTGCTCTTTTAGACCAGACACTGTGTGCCAAGGAGGCATCACTGAAGATTTCACAGTGGGAACAAAAGAGTTTACACTAAGACCCTGATAGCAAACAGCTCACAATTTCCCATTAGAATTTCTATTCTCCTCAAAATGTTCTTTTCAGCAAGCCTACTATTTGTTTGTTTATTTGTTTGTTTTTCCTTTCCTCTCTGATCTTTTTCCCAGGCAACACTTGGTCTGACTGGCTTCTTCCTGAAATTTTCCTGGGAACTTCAAATGTCTCATGTTTTTGTTATTAAAGCAACTTCAGTTCTGCCTCCAAATTAATGCACTCAAGTCTATTAGAGGTTCAAGAAAACAAAAGCCTTATAGGCAAGCCCCAATAAGTCTGAAGGAGGAGCTCCTACTTGTCTTAACCTTCGTCCCAAAACAATCAGGAATTCTCAAAGAAGCCACAAAAAGAATAAATATTTCTCTATCTCCTTCAACTCTAAAGTTAGAAAATAATACGAGAGTACAAGTACCACAGATAACAGCTGACTGGAATTATCAGGGACGGCCTCAGAGACAAGTGCCTTCAATCAATCTTAATGCTTTTTCTTTAGTGAGAAAAACATGAGAAACTGTATCCTAACCTGCCTCCCTTCCTGGAAATTCATAATGCTTCTTGAACTTATAGTTCAAAATAAACTCAGAGAAGTGCTGAAAGAAGAAAAAAAACTTTTTTTACTTTGTTTTACTCTGTTTTTTGTTTTTTTTTTTTTTTTTTTCCAAAAGTTGACTTTAGAATCCTCTTTTACAGCCTAAAAGGCTGGGTAGAGTCAGGGCCGGTGATGCTTGGTATCTAGTTCACAAGCACAGGTATCTCCCCAATCCATTGCTAATTAATAACTAGCTCATTCAGGTTGGGATGGAGAGGGCAAGAGGAGGCTTCTGGCGTATGGACGACCCACAGTGGACTACTAGAGCCAAAGGACAGAGGATGAGCTATCACAGGCTCCAAATACCTGCGCAGTTTAGCAGGAAAAGGCTATGATGGGATCCACAATGGCTGACAGTGGGGCTTGAGTGAGACAAATAGCCTAATAACAGCAAGCTGTGCAGGCTCAAGTCAAATGTGCCCCAGCTTGCCTCTATAGTATCGGGGTTTGCAAAGGTGATGTGTCAAAATAAAGAGTGTCTCCGTACAGGATATTCAATCACCTTAGCAACGTGTCTCTTTTCCAAATCTGTTTCTGCCATCATTTAAGCCACCTATCTGCTACACTCCCACAAGAGCAAGATTAAGGCCTCTAATTTCTACAGTGGCTGAAGTTTGATGCTGCCTCTGACAGCAGTTCCCAGGGAAGAAGGAAGAAGCAACCTGAACATCCTAAATAACAAAACATTTTTAATTTGAGATTTGGGTCTATAAGTAAGGACTCTTTTGACTTCCACTGCTGTACTATAGCATTTTTGTTTCAATGTCTATTGGCTACGCTGTCTTTTACTTGCCTGTTTCAGAGCATGATTTTTATTTTTATTTTACTTTCCTTGATAACTGGCACAGAGCCACACTGGCCAGAGATTTCATGATGGAGAATGTTGAACAGAATTCTGCTGCTGATTTATTCTTTGAGCTACTTCAGAGTACCATGAGTGCAAATGAACTTTGGTTTAGAGAGTTGAGTGATACATGTTAAAATGTTCCAAACAATCTGTGGCCCAACTTGTATATTCCTTCCCCACGAATTTACCTCTCCTTCCCCTGCACTCCCATGGCAGCAGTGTGACCACACTTACTCTGTCCACCTCATGTTCAGTATAGTTTTGACTCCACCAAACTTGACAACAGGAAACTTGTCACATTATACCCTCAATAACTACACTGATGGCACATTGCAGTCACTCAGTTGTTGAAAATCAAGCAGATTAGAGTTATACATGTATTTATCTCTACAAGCTAATGAATTTCTAAAGGGAAAGCGATTAAATCTCATGGGGAAGATAAGAGAACTAATATTTAGTCAACACCTACTAAATGTCCATTCACTATGTTTCTGTCTTTCAGATGAGAAAAACTGAGTCTCTAAGAAGTTACACAATTTGTTCCAAGGTATCACAGCTTGTCAGCACCCAGGCCTGTGGGACCATCTAGCTCCACACCACACAGACCCAAGAAACCTGTATGAGTGGCAGGGAAAGCTAATGATTTACACCACAAAACCCTAAAAAGGCTCAGATATTTGGGATACAAATTACTTTGGTGCTGCGCTTTAACCCACTATGCCATGAGGGAGGGCCCACGGATTACTTTGGAAGGAGAACAAAGGTGAAGATGAAATAGGAAGGCTGGTTTTTGCTTTTTTAAAGAAACAGTTGATTCTAATCAAAAAGGTAGCTTGTAAGTGTTGTTAAGGATATGGAGAAATTAGAATTCACAGACACTGCTGGTAGGGAAAGCAAAAGGCAGTCATTTTGGAAAGCAGGCTGGCAGTTCCTTTGAAAGGTTAAACACAGAATCATCGTATGATCCAGCAACTTCACTCCCAGGTACAAACATGAAAACATGTGCACACAAAAACATGCATACAAAGGTTTACAGCAGCATTAGTCATAAAAGAAAAATGGAAACCACTCAAATATCAACTGATGAATGTATAAATTGTGGTACATCCATAAAATGGAATGTTATTCAGCAATAAAAAGAAATTAAGTA